ATTTACATTCAGGTCTTTGATTCACTTTGAATTTACTTTTGTGTATGGGGTTAGACAGTGATCCAGTTTCATTCTCTTACATGTGGCTGTCCAGTTTTGCCAACACCAGCTGTTTAAGAGGCTGTCATTTCCCCATTGTATGTCCATGGCTCCTGATAAAGCTCATTTTTACAGATGAGAAAAGAGAGGCACAGAACAGTTAAGTGATTTGCCTAAGATCATACAACTAGTAAATGATGAAGCTGGGAATTGAACCCCAAGAAGTCCAGAGACTGTACAATATGTTCTAGTGATTAAGGATGTCTGTGTGAATAACTATGAGGGAAGTAGGTGGTGGAACCCCTGAACTAATTGTTGTGGAAGTTTCTAGTACTTATGATGTCAGTGTTCCTTCTGATGTAGTAAATGAAGTTTGCAGCAACTGGGTGGACTCTTCCCAGGTGGCCAGCAGTTTCTGGAAAAGGGATCTGAGGCATAAGCAGGAACTAAGACACTGGGGTCCAGCCAGGTCTTCCCAGGCTCTCCTCGCAAAGTTACTTTTGTCTCAGCACTCTCCCCAGGGAGCCCAGTGTGGCGTGACACCTGGGAGGTACTACGTAAATGCCAACTTAAACCCTAAAATCCTTGCTAAGCCTCTAGGAGTTTCTTTATAAACAAATGGTGAAGTGAATTTAACAGTGGAATTGTAGTCCCTGGGGAAACTGCAGTGACTCGAGGAGTCACGTGGACCTCAGCATGCCAGTATTTCAAAGGGAGAAACACCCAAGTCACCGAGCCAACAGTGCGCAGTGAATCCCAAAGATAAGTAGGATTAGTCAGGTGGGAGGGGCAGGGAGTGTTCGTGGCCCAAGCCAGGAGGCTAGGAAGTTTCCTTGGGCTAAGGGCAGGGTGGTGATCTGGCAGAATCTGTGAATCTCATTATCGAGTACCTTACCCTGAGGGAGAGGTGATAAATTTTAAATTCTGAAGAGCTAAGTTTAGGTTTACATTTTCGGAAGCTCACTCAAATCATGGAGTTTGAGGCTGAAAAGAAACAACGAGACGGTTCCAAGTCGCAGGTCTGGTCTAAGTAAGGGTGAGGGGGCCGCTTTAGGGTGCGGCAGCTTGGAAGGCGCGGGGGTTTCCCTGGCCTGACTCTCCCACACTTGCGCCTCACGTTCTTTCCTCAGTCTACGCCCTACGGGCTACTCCTGGGCCGCTCCGAATCCACCCTTGGCTGGGCCGGGCCCCAGTCACCGGTGGCCCGTTCCGAGCCGCGTCTCGCGGGACACCCCTCCATCTCCGGCGCTCCCTGCCCTCCGGCTGCAGGCTCTCGGGCGGTCCCCGCCCGCAGGCCCGCCCCGCCCTCGGCCCCGCCCCCAGCCGCCCGCAGGGCCCGCCCCCGAGCCCGCGCGCCAGGCCCGGGCGGCGCCGACGCGCTTGGCGGGAGATAGAAAAGTGCCTCTGCGCGCGCCGGCCGCGGCGGAGCTCTTTACGGGCGGCGGCGGGCGCTGCGACGCGCCGGCGCCTCCCGGAGCGGCCCCGGGGCCCGGAGCGGCCCGAGCACTTGCGCCCTGACCCCGGCCCGGCTGCCGCTCCGGGCTCAGCCGGCGGGAGGGCGAGCGCGGCGCGGCCCGGGCCGGGGGGATGTCTCGGCGGACGCGCGGGTAAGCGCAGCTGGGCGCCAAGGGCCCTTCCCCTCCCGCCTTCCCAAGTCCCATCCCCCTCCACCGCACCCGGGCCCCTTGGAGCGAGGCGGGAGCTGGGGGTTGGTTCTGCGGGAGTCGCCGCTTCGTGGGTCTCCCGGGGCAGGGCGCGCACGGAGCCGGGGGCCGCTGGGCGTCCCTCGCTCCTCTTCCCGGGCCTGCCGGGCCTCGGTGCTGGGGCGGGCGGGTCTCCTGGGACCCGCGCCAAGCCCTGCTTAATGTCATTTTTGCCTCCCGCCTAATTGCGGGGTGGGGGTGGGACGGCGGTGTCCGCTGGAAGCACCTCTATCAGGGAGGGAGGCGACCCCTGGAGAGGGAACGTGATTCTCCTAGTCCCAGCGAGCGGCCTGGAAGACACTTGTCGATCAAGCCTGTTTGGGTTCTGTTTTGCTGGTGGGCATTTCTTGTGAACACTGGGGAAACACGGCACTCCACGCCTTCGCCCCCGGCCTGAGAAGTGTGCGGGGGTAGGAGGCTCTTTTGTCCCTGCCCTCTGAGTACCCAGCCCTCGCTCGGTTTAGTTTCAGAGGCCTGTCCTGATCCACGTGAGTTCAGGACAGCGGGGTTGAAGGTGAGGAGGAAGAGAGGCTGATGGGTGTCACAGACCCCTCTGTCAGCAGTCCTTGGGGCCGAGGCCGGAACTGCGGTCTCCATTTTACTTACCCCCGGAGAGTAAGTGCTGGAGTGGAACTTGGAACCATTACTCTGGGCTTTAGGTCTGTCTTAAAACTGTGCACACGGTGTCTTGAGTTCGGGGCTTTTCAGGCAGTCTTGGAGTTGGGGAGGACAGTGGGGTCCTGAGGCTCTTTTTTCTCCTTGGTTTCTTTTTTTTCTTATATTTTTTTTTTTTTTTTTTTTTGTTGTTTTTTTTTTGTTCTTCTCTTTTTTTTTTTTTTTTTTAGTTTTTCTCCAGGAAGCACCCTGGGCAATGGTTGGGGTGCCTGGCTCAGGTTCTGTCTTACACAGGCTGCAATTTCCCAGGGCACCTACATTCCCAGGGGATGTTTTCTGTTACGGCACTTGTCAGCCCGTCTGATTTTTGGCTCAGGAAATGTTACTCCAGGTCACGACAGAGTCCCTAGAAAACTCTCAGGTCCTCCTCTGCCACTTCTCCCCTGAGGCCAAGTGGAAGAATCCTGCCATATGTGAGGGATGGTTGCCCCCTGCACCCCGTGTACACCAGGTCGGTTCTTCGTTCACTGTAACTCCCTGCTGCATCAGTGCTCCACTTCCCGCTCAGCTTCTGACTCACCCCACCTGGAGCAAAGCCCAGAACACTAGAGAGCACATAAAGGGTGTGTTGAACCTACACGTGGTTGCCACCACTGACTTGGCTTCTACTTTTTCTGCTGGGATAGTGAGGTGAGGACGAGAAGGTGAAGGTTTGGAGCCTGGTTTTGTGGACTTGGCAACTGAGGCCATCCCCGTGAGCCTCAGTTTTCACATCTATCGAATGAGTGTTGTGAACCAGTCTGCACCATGTTGGGGATAGAAATATGTTATCCTAGAATTCTCCCACCTTTCTGAATTTGCTGTCTATGTTTAAATAGTCTTGGAGCATCAGAGTGTTCACACAGGTTCACACTTTTTCACCCTTGAAGGAACTTTTACTGAGTTTCTATTAGAAGCTGGGTGCTGGACAACTGCAGGTGGTTTCCGTCAGGAAGAGGTCGGGAAGGTTGATTTTTGGCCAGCTTCATTCTGTTAGTATCTGCAATTTTTGCCTCCCACTTTGTGATGGTGGAGGACCCCATGGACTGTCAGGAATGACAAGACAAAGATTAATTCCAACTCCTGTGCCTTAATGTGTATTGTTAAGTTTAGACACTTGCTGTTCCTTTGCTACTAATAAAATTAGCATTTCTTACTAATAGGAAGTAGCAGCTTTGCTTCTTTGTTCATTTGTGTATTTGGTCATTTCCTGAGCACACATTTCCTAAGGTCTGTGGTGCC